TCTGTTCAATGAATTCTCCACAGATTGGGTTATCATTGCAGAGCAGCTAGACGGAAGACCTTATTAAGACCTGCCAACATAGTCCGACGAAAGAAGTGGGCAAGTGATATGATGACCAAGTCTCTGGACTTTTGGAAGACTGTATTGCTCTCAGACGAATCAAGATTCGCTCAATTTCGGACAGTGGAAGGACATGGGTCTGGAGAATGCCTCACCAAGAGTTTTGGCTCAACAGATTACAGCCAACTGTGAAGCATGGTGGTTTCAGCGTGATGGTTTGGGGAGCTGTTTGGGTTGGTGGAAGATCGAGCTTAGTGGAGTGCGTTGGCAACATAAATTTTGCGAAATACGTCGAAATATTGGAGGAAGGACTCTTGCCACTTTATTCCTCGGGTTTCGTGGACAAGAACACAACGTTGTTCCAGGAAGATGGAGCACCGTGTCACATTGCTAGAAACACTCAAAAGTGGCAAGAAAAAAATGGTATCCAGAAGTTGCCCTGGCCGAGCCAATCTCCTGACATGAACCCCATCGAAAACCTCTGGGCCATACTCGACCAGCAATTCAAGAAACTACCAAAAACCAACTTCGAAGAGCGATCTACTCCAAGTTTTGAAGCAACAGTGGGTGAAAATCCCACAATCTAAAATTGACGAGATGATTCTTTCGATGCCCCAAAGGATCAACGAACTCCACAAAGCAAAAGGAAGATCTACTAAATATTAATTAAATTATAAATATATCAATTTATGTGAATATGACTGAAAATTTTCATTTTTTCTGAAAAGGTGGTGTCTATTTACTTGTGACCACGCTGTGTATGAGGCAAGAAAGAGAGAGAGGATAACTGGGAGAGGAAGGGGGATCTAAGTATCTAAGGCAAAAGCAGTCAAAGAGGTGCTAACAACAAGCCCAAAGAAGGCAAGAAGTATGTAAACTGGGGCCCAAAAAGAGGAAATGAATAGGGTAGAAGGTACAGAGAAAGAGGAAGAACTAGCTTGGCTGAGAAAATCAATAGCCAGAGCCAAAGGAGAAGGAAGAGAGGACCATAAGAGAGGAAGCTCAGAGATAAGCAGGGTGGCAAAAGCATCCACGAACACCACAGAAGACCTAGAGTTGTAGAGGCTACTTCTTTGGGAACTATTTCCCTGTAGTTTAATCACACATTTACTAATACCACAAAACCTCTGTTAAATCCAACTTCACAAATAATATGTTTGTGGTGAACAGAATACTCACTTCCAATTCTAAAAGCATAAAGGATTTCTTCCAGTTTCTGGGTTTGAACTACTTGGTTAGCAAAAGATTCAGGAATTACACTCTTTGTAGTATCTTTGACATCTTCTTCCAGTTTATGCTCCTAAATGGCATAGATAAATTACAATGTCATATCCATCTGCACTAACAGATAAGCATTGGGGATTTTATCCCATGTAGTTCCAGAGATAAAGTAACATACTTCTTTATATGGGCCAAAAAAGTAGCTTATTTGAGTTAAAAGAAGATAGAGCTTAATAACAGAAGTAGTAATAGCAACATAAACCATCACACATAATAATAATGATCTCTCAATTACAGACTCTAGTTACAAATTAACATTATTTCAATTTCTGAGAAGAGCTGTCTTCCTCAGCAGAAAAATAAAAAAATTGTGAGAAAAATATTAATTTAAGAAAAAAGTTTTGAACCTTATAAAATACTCATTTTACAGACATGAAATCTAAACTTTCACAAATAAAACTGATAAACAGGTAGAAAAGGATACTACTTAAACTAAAATATTACAATTTAATGTAAGAAAAAACAACTCCAGGCTTTATTAGCAGTCAAAAAAATACCTCTCTTTTTTTAGGAAATGCTTACCTAACAAATCTTAGAATATACTGAATTTGTTGATTAAATTTACCTAAACCACCACAGAATAAATCTGAAATAGTAATAATTTTTAACTTCTTGTATTGTTTAAACTTGGATCTAAAGAGTCTAAGAAAAAAAAAACGACTGTGTTACAACATCCATATTGGTTGTTAAAATTGACCTACATGAGTTTCAATTAATACTTTTGGTTATGAACTTTCCCAAACACTTGCTCCAGTGTAAATAATAATCAGAAGTATTGAATGAGAGCAGTAACAGACAAAGTACATAAGACTATCATTACAAAATATTCTAGCTAGGTGAACTATGGAGGAGCTCATTGACATTTGAAACATCTTCAAGATCTAAGACATTGTTTTATATTTTGAAGAAAATGCTTCAGATGAAACTTTTTTAATTTGAGTTCTAGTTTTCTTTGTATTCCCTTTTGTTTGGAAACTCTCTTTGCCTTCATCAAATCAAGGTCACATTCACATCGATTGTACATATTACACTTGAAACACATTTTCATTGCATTGTTGTAAGTAACAGGAAGAATTAAGATTGTATTTTGATGATTTCATAGCATTCTAAATTCATTTTCTATACTTCATATGATGTAATAGCAGAAAACAGAAATTCACTTTTGACAAGCAAATATGAAATATAGGTAAACGGAAAGACAAAAATTTTAAATAACTCTCTAATGAAAAATATTATAAACATTTTATTTCCACAGAATGGAAGCCTTAATACACAGTTATTTTCATTTTCAGTAAATTTGAAAATTTTTAGATGTTAGGTACACCAGAATTTTCACCAATCCAGGCCTAGTTAAGTATCATATCTAGTTGTTGTTTTTTATCTGCCTTAAGAAACTAATTATAAAATCTAATTGAATGGCTAATAATGTACATACTGTATATGTAAGTTCTGCTTTCAAGACATTTAAAGCAAAAGTAAATGATTTGCATTTAAAAATACTTTTATAAAATTTTGAATGTAACAGTTCAACTGTTCTTTAAATTTACATTGCTTGCAACCTATATATATTATGCACAATGAGCTAAAGAATTATAACAAATACATTTAATTATAGAACACTATGAGATATCAGGCAAAACTCTGTTTAAACACAGCTAATATTCAAGTAATGTGGTGTATGTTTTAATCTTAACTAAAGGAATTGAACTGAGGCACTTCAACTGTCACTGAACATTTCTCAACTTTTAATGATCTTGTTTTTGTTTCTTTTCCAGAAACTATTAAAATATTACACAGCATTTTGGTAAAAAGCAATGAAAAATAGTAAATAGTAAAAACTGCAAACTTAAAAAGTTAAAACTGCACAATGCTGTGATTCAGCAACAGAAAAGGACAGTTACTTAATTTATAATAAAGGCAGAAAGGCATTTGTCACATGTGAATGTTGTGAATATTAGAGTTGTATTTCACAATCCTAGAGTATCTACGTTAGTAATAATTGTCTTTACACATATTCAAGGGGTGATTAACTCCCAGTTCATAATAGCTTTAGCAAACCTCTGTATCGTCCCTCCACTTGAATATGATCCCTAGAGGGAAAAACAAGTATAAGGCCAGAGATGAGAATTAAAGCAACTTTGCAACATTTTGTTTAGAAGGACATTAACTAACTTCAAAACATTCAGATACTAAAAAATCCTAAATATGCTAGAATATAGAAAATTTCTTTTCCAGTTATAAAAAAAACTAAAATTTTGTAATTTTCAACAATTACACTCTCTACTTCCTTATCTCAGGCCTTTTCAAGCTTGAACCTTTAAAATTAAGTTTAAGTGACTAAATCTAGCAAATATCTAACTTAGTTACAGTTTTTATAAATTACCTTCACAGATGACACGCTAAGATGTGATGATATGTCATTATGTAAAAACAACAAAGTCTTTCTTAAAAACAAAGATATTCTAACAGTAGATAAACTGAATGAAATTAAACTTATTACTAAACTTAAAATGAAACATTATGTAAAACTGAGTATAACAGAAACTAAAATAACATGTACAATAAATGTGTAGAACTCAAAATGAAAACTATACTAAAATTGTATGGTATTGTATTTTTATATAACGTTTAGTCTGCTCTGAGTAAGTAGGCTAGGCTAGGCTAAACTTAACTTTAAGGATTTTAGAGCTTAAGACTTTACTTATAGTACACTAAGGTTTTTAACTCTCCCAACACGGGGTCGGTCAATTTGACTGAGTCATGTGATCTTTTGTACTCATTTAAGGTTGATATAAATTTGATACTTATAACTCTCTATATATTGGGCATATCTTCACGAAATTTGGCAGTCTTTCAGTTAATATTACAAGTCTTTCACATACAAAAAGTCATATTTCTTAGTGAAGTATTTCTAATAAAATAAAGTTTTGTCCATGAATATATTGAGTATTTGTTTTGAATAGTCCGTATGCAAAGTAATTTTCATGTTACAATTCAAAATACTTTTCATCATCTCAAAAATCTCCAATTAGCTTTGTGTAATCCCTAAAACCTCCTAAATGCTTTTCATGTGTTTTTTTTGCACTAAATCCTTATAGTTTATATGTTATTTTCTCTACCCTATCTCAAAACAGAATCGGTCAATTCGATCTACCTCGTAACCACCAAAAAAATCTAAATTAACCTTCTTTTCTTTCTAGTAAGACTTCAAATTTTAACATGAAACTACATTTGTTTATACTAAGTAGCACTAAGTTCGTAACATTATACATCTATTTATCATTAAATTTTATTGTTTTATTGCCCTTTAAACTGTGTCTAACTACTATCCCCGTCATTATAAGTTGTAAAACACTCGGGGAAGGTGCAGCTCACGTTACGCTATGGAATTACATTATCCACAAGCTGCTCGCATACGTGCCCTGTGAACCATTTTAACTATATTATTATTATTACTTATTTTACCTAATCTAGTCTTAAATAACTTAAAAAGATCTGTACTTTTAATTTTAGTTACTTTTATAATTATAAATAAGGAATAAATATGAAAAACAAG